GTATAAATAAGTATTTATATTTGTGTACAAGCTGTTTAGATTGTAAAAATCCTGTGTTTTTAGGGTTTTTAACAAAGTTCATGTACTCAGACCAGTAATATCTGGAGTCACAAGTTTTTGCCATGAATATTTTAGGGGTCAGAAGATAAAAAGTTTGGGAACCACTGGTCTGAAGTCCTCCTGAGTCCACATGGGGACATCTGCTCCCTGTGACCTGCATGATGGACGTCTTCCTGAGGGGACAAAGGACGTCCAGCGATGGTTTCTGTCCACTTCTGTCCACTCTGAGTCTCCCTGAATCTGTTCATCTTTCAGGACTTCATGTTGAAGAATCTGGTTTAGAAAGGAGCTGAACCAGGACTGATTCTGGTCCTGAAAGACCAAACCTATGGATGGACCCAGTTCTGACCCGCTCATGTGATGTCCCAGAACCGTCCTCAGTCTGGGAGGTGTTGCTTCAGATCCTGGATCAGCGTCAGTAGTCTTTGCTCCCAGTTCTGGATCTGAACTGAGCTTCTTTTCTTGTTAGAAGACAAAAACCAGAGTAAAGTCTGTTTTCTGACAGTTTTTATTTTTTTATTTTCTGTCTGTCGGAGCTCCTGAGCTGAGCTGACTTCTGTCTCTTTTACTTCCTCTGCTTTAAATTTAGGCCCAACTTTCAGCAGCTTCATCACTTCCGCTTTTCTGTTTTTCAGCGAGCAGGCGCCACTTCCACTTCACTCCACTTCACTCCACTTCACTCCACTTCACTCTGGTTCGGTTTGGTTCGGTTCGGGTCTGTTCACAGCCACTTTCTGCCAGCAGCTTCAGAGCAGAAACAGACCGTTTGCTGCTTTAAATAAAACATTTAAATATCATCTGAAATAAAAGAATCAGACCTGGATTATTAAGTTCATCAAACTGTTTTATCCTGATGCAGCTGCTTCAGTTCAGACTTTAAAATATAAATTTATATAATCTAGAGATGCTCGATAGAGACTTTTTGCTGATATTTTTCAACACTTAATTCCAATATTAACTGATATTACAAACCAACATTAAGCTGACAACACATATCTGCTGTCAGGGACATGATGCCTGCTTGTCTGTACAAAATAAAAACCATTTAACTGAAGTTATAGAAAAAGTACCATGATATTTATTTTTAACATTTTGTCTCAAACAATAGTTTGGATCAGGCTCTCCCTGACATAATCCAGTTTGATGATGTCATCATCACTCACCGGTGAACGTTTCTGGATCACAACCTTTTATTAACACATGTTGGTCAAATCCAGGAGTTAATTTATCAGGTTTTTAATATCAGAATAAAAACTGAAACAAATATGTAGAAAATTTACATTTTTATGCTAATATGTGACCGATTATATCTGTAGGTCGATATTCTCCAACATCCCTATAACCCCAGTTTAACACGGAGATACACCAAACTGAGTACATACTACTGCAGATAGTACTACAGTACAGTATAGTATGGTAATTCTACTGTGGGGTCAGTTGATGTTCTGTAATGCTGCGTTCACACCGAACGTGATTTCAGCTTCAAAATCGCAGCAAACGCTTCAAGTTGGTCACTTGTGCACTTTGAGGTCAGACGCAGGTCAGCTCTTGAAGCGCTGCA